CCCCTCTCACCCACCCCTGTTACCCTCCCCCCCCCCCCAACCCCCCAAGCCCTTCCTCTTCCACCAGTCTCCCCGTACCAGATCCTCCCAGCTCCCACTCACCCCCAGATCCCACAGGTCACCCCCCCCCCCAGAGGAGAAGCAGAAGAGAGTCAGTTTCAGGGTAATGTATTCGAGCATAGATGGGATCACAAGCAAGGCAAGTGAACTAAGGGAAAGGGCACAAGAAGTGAACCCGAATGTAATCGGACTCACTGAAACAAACCTCTCAAGAATCATAACGAATGCCGTATTTCCCCAGGAGTACACAGTAATAAGGAAAGAGAGGGAAGGTAGGGGAGGAGGTGGAGTGGCCCTACTCATGAGAAAGGAATGGAGTTTTAAGGAGATGGCTATACCGGGCTGTGAGGGTTTCAGAGACTACATAGCAGGCACCATGACAATAGGAGGACCAAGAATAGTAGTAGCAGTAATATATAACCCTCCACCAAATGACAGAAGACCCAGTCAAGAGTATGAAACCAACAACATGGCAGTTAACACTATAATTGAGAGGGCAGCCTCTGCTACCTGTAGAAATAGATCCCACCTGCTCATCATGGGGGATTTCAATCACGGAAGGATTGACTGGGAGAACAAGGAACCGCATGGAGGCGAGGATACGTGGAGAGCCAAACTATTGGAGGCGGTGACTAGAAACTTTTTAACCCAGCATGTCAGAGAACCCACAAGGATGAGAGGAAATGATGAACCAGCAAGACTCGACCTAGTCTTCACTCTGAACGACTCCGACATAAGAGAAATCGGTTTTGATGCCCCAGTAGGAATGAGCGACCACAGTGTACTGGTGTTTGAGTACTTGATTGAAGAAGGGTTATTGAACTCGAGGAGGGATACCGAAAACAAAAGGTTAGCATACCGAAAGGGAAATTATGAGGAGATGAGAAAATTCCTAACAGATATAGCATGGGAAACAGAGCTCAGGGGAAAGACGGCCCAAGACATGATGGACTACATCACGCAGAAGTGCAAGGACGCAGCAAACAAGTTTGTCCCAGTCCAAAAGGAAAACAGTGAAATGAAGATGAGAAACCCATGGTTTAATCAGAAATGTAGGCTAGCTAAGCAGCAAAGTAAAAGGGCATGGAGAAACTATAGGAATAATAGGACACTTGAGAGCAGAGAAAGATATCAGAATGCCAGGAATGAATATGTCAGGATGAGAAGAGAGGCAGAAAGACAATACGAAAATGACATCGCAAGCAAGGCAAAGACTCAGCCTAAATTGCTGCATAGCCACATCAGGAGAAAAACAACAGTAAAGGAACAGGTTATGAAATTAAGAATAGGGGGAAGAAGGATTCACTACAAATGACAAGGAAGTTTGTGAGGAACTGAATAAGAAATTCCAGGAGGTCTTCACCTTAGAGCAAGGAGAAATCCCAGAGATAAGAGAGGGAATAGCTAACCAGGATCCACTGGAAGAGTTTGAGATTACCAGCGGGGAAGTAAGGAAGTGTTTACTGGAGTTGGATGTGACAAAGGCTATAGGCCCAGATGGAATCTCCCCTTGGATACTAAAGGAAGGAGCAAGAGAACTGTGCCTACCACTCTCCATAGTGTACAACAAATCACTGGCAACAGGAGAACTGCCAGATATTTGGAAAGCAGCTAACGTAGTCCCGATATACAAGAAAGGGGATAGACAGGAGGCACTGAACTACAGGCCAGTGTCCCTAACCTGTATACCATGCATGCTGATGGAGAAGATTGTGCAAAGAAAGCTAGTGGAACATCTGGAGCGAAAGAACTTTGTAACACAGCATCAACATGGGTTCAGGGATGGCAGGTCCTGCCTCACATGGTTACTTGAATTCTACGATCAGGCAACAAAAATCAGGCAAGAAAGAGAAGGGTGGGGATAATTGCAACAATTATCCAATAGTATAATGTTGCAATTTTCTCACATGGAAATTTAAATAAATTGTAGTTGGTCCTATAGTCAGTATCTAAGGATCTACAATACTGAATTGCTATAATTTCCTTTGGAATTTACTTAAGGTTACATAATTATTCTTGAGCTCCTGTGATGAGAGTGACTGGCAGGAACCCGTGCACAACCTCAGCTGCCAGGTATTGGTGGCTGGATAACTTGGAGTTGGGGCTGTTTTCCTCTTAACAACTCCTCCTGTATTGTTTGACTAGTTGTCTTCATTTGTTTTTTCATTAAAATCTTTACTTTGTTTCCTTATTCCTGGTACCGTGAGTGGTTCAAAGTACCACTCCTTTAGAAGCATCTAAACTCCTTGTATGAGGAGTTTAGATGCTTCCCTCAAACCAGATGGTTGCCTGGTTGCCTTACAGGTCGCGTAGGTCCAGAGACGTGGTTTGTTATAGAGGCTCTGTTGTACTAGTGCATGAGCTCCAGGGAGCTACTTTTAACATAGCATTTCATTACACTCAACTCTGTTGTCTGGGGGGGCGAGCCCCTTGTGGCTTCCTTAAGCTACCATACTGATATAGTGCCAGACTATTAGGTGCCATCAGTCGTGGAGGTGTTCTTTACTTCCGGGCACCACAAACCTGAACCCGGTCCCTTCAAAGAGGCAAAAAAATAAATGTGCAGTATAACACAAACATTTGTGTTATACTCCTGTGTAACACAGGAGTTGGCTGCATCAACCTTGTGTCAACCTGAAGAACCCCAAGAAGCCAAATGCCGCACCAACCATGAGGTTGGCACGACGTTTGGTTTCTTGAGGTTCGGATCTGCCCTTTCCGATGGGGGGCAGCTGGCTCTTTTTGCCCGCGATTCGTGGGGTTTTCAGGTTGTTTCTTCCAGTCTTTGGTGGCGTTGGGCGGCCCTTCCTCCTATCGAAGGGTCAGGTCTAGGGGGGCCGGCCGCTTCCCCGTCCCTCTGTTGGGTCATCTCGGAGAGGCTTTGCTTGGGCGTGATCGAAACGACCTTGTCTCTCAAGTTGGTTTCCTGCATGTTTCCAGTTCCAAAACGGGACCGTGCGGATCTCTGGTACATTCTGGACTTGTCTCGTCTGAACCGGTTGATTCCTTGCACCTCCTTTCGGATGACCATATTGTCCGAGGTCCAGCTTCTTCTCGAGCCGGGCACTTGGATGATTTCCATGGACCTCAGGGACGCTTATTGGCATGTTGCTATTCATCAGGGGTTCAGGAATTGGTTGGGTTTTGTGGTGGGGCAAAGACACTTTTGTTGTCTTCCCTTTGGCTTGAATCTGGCACCTCGCATTTTCATGTGTTTAACCAGGGTCATTGTGGCCCATCTGCGTCTGCTAGGTCTTCAGGTTTTGGCCTACTTCAACGACTGGTTGGTGTGGGCTCCCAGCTGGTCTGCTTGCCAGGTTCATTTCCAGCGTGCCAGGTGCGGGTCCCTTGTGAATTGGTGGAAGTCCCAGTTGGTTCCGTCCCAAGTTCGGACTTGTCTGGGCCTAGTGTGAGACTCTCAAACTGCGTCCCTTTTGTGGCTTTGCTCCGATTGTGGTCCTACCTTCAGCTGTTTTTGAGGGGTACCTGGGTCACTAGGCGGTTCATCGAGCAGCTGTGCAGGAACCTGAATTTTGCCATGCTGGTTTATCTGCTGGGCAGGGTTTGGCTTCAGAGGCTGTTCTGGTATCATTAGGGCAGTCTCTTTCACCACTCTCGCAATCGCTGGGCATGTTCTTTGGTGTCCTTGCGTCCGTTGCTTTGTCTCTGGCTTCCTCTTTAGGATTTTCAAGGTTCGGTGCCATGGCATCTTCCTTTCCTCTCACTCAATGTGTTCACGGATGCCTCACCCATCGGTTGGGGTTCTGTGACCAGCTCTCACCAGGCCGGCCAGGGGCGTTGGGATTTGTCCTTCCTTCGGGTTCACAGCACAATGCGGGAGTTTGTGGCTGTGTGGCAGGTGCTGCAGCGGATTCGGCTTCCTTGGGGCTCTGTGATCCGGCTCTATACAGAGTGCTTCCCTATGGTTCATTGTCTCAAATGGGGGGGAAGGGGTGTCTATGCAGTCCATGGCTCTTTGGGGTTGTAAGTTTAGCTCTCTGTGCTGTTCACATTCAGTGCGTGTCCAACATCCTGGCAGACAACCTGTGGCTCTTCATAGAAAACCAGCGTTGAATTTAATGAAGTACCATTTTCTGGGCAAGCCCCAGAAGCTCCCTGACACCCTCCATCCCTCCGGCCTGCGATTTTGCATCATTAAAGAACTGAGTGGGCAGGGGGGGGGAGGGGGGGACTCTAATGAGCAGGAGTGCTAGTTGAGTGAAGGGTTGCTGGTTTGCTTTTTTTCTGGGGGAGTTCCTTTGCTCTTTCTGGACGTACTTCGCAATTTTCACAAAACTGTCGTTTTTGTTTCGCCTGTCTTTCTGGGTGCCTTCCCTGGTCGATGGCAAAATATGACATACTTGAAATGTAAAGTGCTCATAGGCCATTGCTCCCTGCACCTCTCTGAGGGGAGCAGGTTCTGGTTCATGGTCCCAGTAGACATAAGGACTCCTATGACTGATGACCCCAAATTAATAAAGCACTATATCAGTTGGATAGCTTCATGGAGCCTCCGGGGCTCGCCCTGATAATGGCGTTTCATTACATTCAACGCTGGTTTTTTCTTCTACCCTGTCCGACATCCAAGTAGTAGGGCATCATTTCTTCCCTCCTTCCTATCCCAAATCCTTATCCTCATTCCTTCCGAGTGCTATACAGTCATCATGGGTTAACACTTTCTCCTGATAATTATGTTGCCTTACTGTTCTTCCAGTGTGGGATCCCTTGCAGATTAAGGATTGATGGTATCATACTGTGGAGGGCTGAAATATAGCAGCAGCACTTTACATTTTTTGTGGAACTCTTTCACAGTAATGAAGCATGTGTTACTAGTTTTGTATATGGTTTATGCTGTAAGTTATTTATTAATAAAAGTAATAATGAGGTTCTAAAAAATTGTCATGAGGTTCTATGAAACCTGATCATTTACAATTGGTAATGTCCTGAATGTACTCTACAGGAAGAACGAATCTTTCTACGTAATTACACAGGACAGCATGACATTGGATGATGTAGAGCAACTTCTTCGGGAGACAGATCACAATGGGTTCCCTGTGGTCGTGAGCAGACAGTCTCAATACTTGGTTGGCTTCGTTGCCAGACGAGACTTAAATATTGCCATCAGTAAGTAAATGGGCATTGGCCAGTTCTCCTCGTATGATATGTTATTTAAAGAAGTATGTTTGTGTCAATACAGGCTTCTCACCAACCTTGAATATTTAACAATATTTTTCAATTTCATTAAGTTCAGAGAAAATTAGCAAAGGAAATTAAAAAATTTGAGGGTATTAAATTTTTCTGGATGGTTACGTATGCATGTTGAATATCCTGTTTTGAAAGGTACATTTTCCGTCTTGTTTAGTTTTCCCTCTCAGGAATGTTGTATACTTTGCACATTATGGGTAAACATATTCTTGATGCACTAATAAATTTTTATCTAAAGAAAGTAGTGTCAAATGTACATGACACCTTTCTGGTCATTATATTTGGTCGGTCCCTCAGCATGATCCTATACTCCCTTCTGGTACACAGAAAAGTGCTTTCATTAAAAAGAAAGTTTGTCCAGGCTCTGCTTGCAACACAGAGTTCATGAGCTGTGCCCTGGCAAACTACCTTTCTACAGCAGGTCCTACCACTGACCAACAACAGGTCAGTGTCAACACCACTGCCATATCCTCTCACATATTCTCCTGTTGCTGTAGATGGCAGAGCTAGAGGAAACCTTCAAATACAGAGAAGCTAATGAAAGAAGTACTAGGGCAAGAGTGACCGAATATGCTACTCAAGAAAGTTCCTTTGGAGTTATCCCACTTGGTTGCTGCTTAAGACAAATCTTAGTTGAAGTGCCACATACTACAAGAAGGATGAGGCTTACCTGGGCTGCAGATTGGTGTTTAGGAGATGTATAAGAAGAAGCTGTAGGAAGAACAGCAGCTGAAGCCTTGATATCTGGCCCTTAAGAGAAGAGAGTCAATAAGATGAGTCTGCCCAAGGCACACATCCAGGTGCATTTCCAAAACCCTTGTGCTCTGATGTCAGCAAAAGACATTGCTCAGTGAGTGTCGAGAGTTATTTTCCCTGGACCGTTTGGGAATCTTTCCCCATTTGAGACCTTCATCACGTGATGTTGTCTTTGCCCTTGGGGTAAATCGGAGGTCTTGGGCTTTCCGTCTTGCCCTGGGTAGAGGAGTGTTATTGGCTGGGTGGGGTGCACTGTGGCTGGCACAGCTAGCTTTACTTCAACACAGCGGCCATGTTTCTCTCTGATTGCCAGTTTGTTTGTTGTGTGTCGTCAGTGGGTTTTCTTTTCATTTTCTTTCTGGGGGGGAGCCCCTACAGCTCCCCGGAGCTATCCACGGCTGATATGGATACCCTAACTATTTTGCATCAGTCGATGTGGGTGGAGTTTTAGGCCTACCGGGGACCACGAGCCAGAACCTGGCCCCCTCAGAGAGGCACGGGGAACAATGGCCGATAGAATTGCACATGTGATTTGGAGCATTCTATATCTGCCATCGACCGGGACAGGCACCCAGAAAGGTAAGCGCCACAAAACAAACCCCTATTCTGGTTAACAACAAAAATCGACAAACGAGTGGACAGAACTCCCCAAGAAAAACGAACTAACAAGTATGACGTCACACGAGCCACGCCGCATGTCTGCGCAGCTCCCCCCCCCCTCCCCGGGAGGGAGAAGACGGAGCCCCAGACCCCCGCGCCGGCGATCCCCGCCCCAGTTCCTTGGCTGATGGGATAGTGCATGGTCGTGTGGCTCCAGCTCCGGTCTTGTCTCAGTGCTGTGACTTGTTTGCAGTGCTGCTCTTACGGTGGTCGTGTGAGCTGGGAGTAGTATTCTCAGGTACTCAAGCTGCATGTGCTTAGGGTCATTTTCCCTGAGTGCCCTGTAATTACCACCTTTGGGGCTTGGGGTTGCCTTCCACAAGTCACCTTGGGTCTACCTCTGTTGGCTTTTCGCTGCTTGGCGTTTGGCTGCCCCGAGTGTTTGGGGGTTTTCCTCCCTTGTTTACCTTGGGGTAAGTGGTAGTTACAGCACTGGTGGGGCGCAGGGTACTGCGTAGCTAATTTTCACCTATAACAGCGGTCGGCTCTGTTCCCTCTGGGTACGTTGTCCACTTGTGTGGTTTTTCTTTTATATTTGTTTTTGCCTGGTAGGGGGGGGTCTGCCTTGTGTTCCCCCCCCCCCCCTTATATTAGGGTTGTTTGTGTGGTGGCACCCCCTGCTTCGCCCTCGCGAATGGACACATCCCGTGGGTTCAGCTTTAGCTGTCTCAACTTCGTGTTGGTGAGTGGTGCACCTACCGCTTCCCGGGTATGTCCTCTTATTTTTTTAGGTGGTCTTTGGTGAAGTAGCTCCGGGGAGCCACAGGGGCTCCCCCAGAAAACCAGCGTTGAATGTAATGAAACGCCATTTTCTCGGTGAGTCCCGGAGGCTCCCCAGCACCCTCCCGCCCTCCGGTCGGCATTTTTTCGCGGTTTTGATATCCAGCCTCAGAACTGAGGCGGGGGTCTGTGGCTCCCCCTTCCCCCTCCCGAGGAGGGGGGAGCTGCGCAGACATGCGGCGCGGCTCGTGTGACGTCATGCTTGTTAGTTCGTTTTTTTTTCGGGAGTTCTGTCCACCCGTTTGTCGATTTTTGTTGTTAACCAGAATAGGAGTTTGTTTTGTGGCGCTTACCTTTCTGGGTGCCTGTCCCGGTCGATGGCAGATATAGAATGCTCCAAATCACATGTGCAATTCTATCGGCCATTGTTCCCCGTGCCTCTCTGAGGGGGCCAGGTTCTGGCTTGTGGTCCCCGGTAGGCCTAGAACTCCACCCACATCGATTGATGCAAAATAGTTAGGGTATCCATATCAGCCTGGATAGCTCCGGGGAGCCTCCGGGACTCACCCAGAAAATGGCGTTTTATTACATTCAACGCTGGTTTTTTATTCACTGGCATTCTCACCTTGTTTAGACAGAGGTGGTCTGCTTAGCTCCTTATTAGGCAAGCCTAGGTTGTGTTGGTAGTCATCCTCTATTTCTCCCGAGGTTTCATACCAGCTGTTGGTAGTTAGTTTGCCTGCTACCTGACAGGGTTCTACCAGCTTTGCTAGCTCCTGTGCCTGGGCTTCCAGTAGGGTGCTCATTCACCCTATGGGCCCTGGAAAACCCCATGGGCTTGGTCGTATAATGGCTACTTCTGAGGCCGCTCTTGTCTTGTGCGAAGTCGAGGGTTGTTTGTTGCTCTTGCCTCAGGGAAACCATCATCCGTACTGCCTCCTTCACACTGCCTGTTGGGTCGGGGACACCACTGACCCAGAGTTTTGCAGGCCTTGTTCCCCCACTTGTACTTCACTTTACCCATTCCTTGCCTGGTGATCTCAAAGATCAGGCAGCGGCTGCATTGCATGCTTGATTCTCCTTACTGCAACGAGCCAGGTTGGTTGCCCGGTTGGTGGCCCCAGAAGCTGCTCCACTTGGGTTTTAGGGCCCAGGATTTGGGGGTGTTGGTCGCTTTGACCTTGGTTCCTTCCTCACCACTGCTTCCTTCCCAGGTGGGCATGATTCGCTCTGTTCCTTCCTCCCCCTGCTTCTGACTCTTGAATGTCTGAGAGTTTCGGAGTCAAGGCGGGGTTTTGCTCGAGTGGCTTTGGGGGTTGCCCCTTCCAATTTGTCTGCGAAGGTGGTCGAGTCAGATTTTCCCGCTGAGGCTTCTGGGTCAACCCAGTGGACTTCCTTCTTGGAAGCTTTTCCTCTGGATGCCACCTTTTCTTCAGGGGTGGTGGGCGTGGAAGCCTCTGCCCTGGGGCCTGTGTTTGGGATTCTCGGAGCTTGGTGGGAGTCCTCTTGGAGCACTTGAAGCACAGGGGCAGCCCCCAGAGCTGCCCCTGCTTGGGTCCTTGTGCGTTCTGGGCTGGGGTTGTTGCTGCAGGAAAGGGAGTTTTTGTCCCCCTCTTCCCTTTCTGAATTAGTTTTAGCATATTTGCTGGTGTGATTTACCCACCCTCACGTCAGGTGCATCCATCTTTTACTTGGATGTTTTATCTGGGGGAAAAAACAAGCGTTGAATGTAATGAAATGCCATTTTCTGGGCGAGTACTGGAGGGTTCGGGTCACTTGGGGCTTTACCATCCGGCTCCGGACTGTTCTCTGGTGGTTCATTGCCTGAACCACAGGGGTTCTCTTCGGTCCTTGCCTCTTGGGGTTGGTTCCTTCGAGTGGCTCATCTGCTTGATTCTCAGGGTTTGGCTTTCTGTGCAGTTCATGTCCTGAGAGTGTCCAATGTCCTGGCAGAAGGGTGCCTTGTTTTGTTTCTAGGGAAGATATTTTGATTTTCTGTGGGGAGCCCTTACAGCTCCTTGGGCTTATCAGGCTCAGTATGTTATTAGACTGGGACATTAGCTAAGGAGTTTAGACCTACCAGGGACCAGTGCCAGAACCTGGCCCCTTCAAAGAGGTTTCAGGGAGCAATGGCCCTGGAAAAGCCCCCTTGTGGTTGGGGTTTTCCTTCTCTGCCATCGACCGGGGTTAGGCACCCAGAAAGGTAGGCATAACAAAACAAACCCCACATGGTAAAAAACTAAAACAGAAAACCAAACAGAGAGGTAGAAACTCCCTACAATCCCAAGGAAACAAGCAAACATCACACTTTACTGCCACGCTGATCATCTGCGCAGCCCTCCCCACCCAGAGAGGGGAAGGGGGGAGCCCCGGACCTCACCATGCTGGCTGCCTAGCATCACTTCGTACGCTAATGTCAACCGGGATAGACGCTTCTCTGGCCTCGGTTTCCTAGGCGGTGTTTGCCTTTCGTGGTGTTCACTGCCGTGTGTTGGGTTGTGCGGTGGCCAGGTGTTCCTCATCAGTACCGGGGCTGCATGCTCTTAGGGGCTTCCTTCCCTAAGTGCCCTGTGAGTACTGCCCCTGTGTGACAGGGTTATCTTCTCTGGGGCGTTCGGGAACCATTCCCGTAGAGGTTCTTGCTGCTCGGCATTTGCCTCACCCTTGGGGCCAGCTGGGGCTTGGGGCCCTTGTTTGGCCCTGGGTAGGGACTGGTATTGTGCTGGTTAGGGCGTCAAGGTGTTGCGCGACTTGCCACCTAAGCGGCGACTGGTTCCTGTTGC